ATTGTGGTGATGGTTTCATGAGTGGATATATATGTCACCTGTTCATGTTCAACTACCTTTTCTTGAGAAATTAGTTTCAGATTGAGTATAGACGCAAAATTACAATGAAATAATACACCCTGATTATCACTGATTCTTGTCGGAACTCAAGATACAAATTGACACATAAATGTTAAAATTTCTAAGCTATTTGGTTTTTAGTAACAAAATGCCAGTTTAAAAGGTACAGTGTTGAAGACAACAGCTATACTCTCACTTGTTAACAGAGTTCTAATGAAGTGGGTTAGAGAAAAGCTGTGTTCAAGGTGACAGGAAGTACTAGAAGTGCATGTATTCTGTCTACCCTTTCTCCAGGAGCCCTCCTGATTAGCTCTGTAACCTCTCCTGCTGAATTATTGTAATACTCTTGTACCAATGAGTCAAAAGAATTCATGCATTTATTCATTGTTCTGTACCAGCCCTTGATTACATATTGAGTAAAACTCTGATCCTCAAAAGCTGAGTCTAATAATGGCATGTAAAGTCATAATCCCACCGTGATGTAGTAAATGCTTTAATACAGGCATGTGCGAGGTATGGTGATGGCACAAAGGACTGTTCATCAGAGGACTTTTGGGAGGTCAAGGGAACAGCTGATGTGACTAGAGCAGAGGGAATTCAGGGAGATAAAGCCAGACTGGTGGTTGGTCCAGATCGCAGAGCCTTTTAAGCCAGCAATGGGAAGCCACTGAAGGATATTTAATAGAGTAAAGTTTGTATAATTATTCAAAGATCCCTCCCTCTATAAGCTCCATGAGGACGGGACCATTTGTCTCTCATGGTTGTCATCCCAGAGCTTGACACATAGTAGCACTTCATTTGTTCAATGAGAGAAAAGCTGGTGAAATTTGCATTTCTGAGAGAACACTGACAGCACTAGGAATGGAACATATTGAGACTGAAAGCAGGAGACCAGAGCTGCTTGGACTGGACTGCACAGGAAATCCAGAGGGCTTGAACTGAGCAGTAGCAATGAAGAGGGATTGAGGGGTGGATACACAGCAAGTATTTGAGGACTGGCTGGAACAAGGGGTGAAGTGGAAGAGTGGGAAGAAATCAAGAAATGATTTCCAGACACCTGGCTTCATTAATTCATTTGAAAGACATCAACTACTAAATACAGGAAGTCAAATAAGACATTGATAGGGTATTGATGAAGATGTATGATTAAGTCAAATATTATGATACTGTATGAAAAGCACCACGTATGACAGGTACATACTGGAGCGCAGAGGAGGGACAGGGGCTTCTAAATTAGTTGGGCAGCAGGAAATACTTCCTGGAGAGTATGGTCATTGGGTTTTGAAAGATGATATGCATTATCTTACAAAGTTAAAGTTTAGGACATGCCAAATATTAGTTATCAGAATGGGAAATGTAACAGATCTAATAGCCAAATCATACATGGCTTCAGAGACAAAGCCAAAACCAGAACCTGCATTCCGACTCCCAGGCATTGATATCTTTTCACTTTATGATGCTTGCTATTAATCGCATGCTCAATAGGTCGGGAAGGCCTAATGAAATGGCTGGTATTAGTTCAGCATCCTCCTATATAATAAAAGCCTAATATGCTAAGTGTTCAGTTGCCTGGTTGTCCGTTCAACCAATCAAAGCATAATATGCTAATGTATGCTAAGGCTGCTCAACAGCTCGCTATGACATGCACTGACCACCAGGGGGTAGACGCTCCGACCGGTAGGTTAGCTTGCTGCCGGGGTCCGGCCAATTGTGACTGAGCAAGATGGGCCAGACACGCCCTGGAGCCCTTCCGAGGGCCCTCCCTGGCTGGCCAACTTCCTGCATCTCTCTACAGGCCCATCATGCGCTGGTGGGGTCCCTTGGCCTGGCCAGCACCCTCTTGCAATCCGGGACCCCTCGGGGGATGTCAGAGAGCCAGTTTAGGCCTGATCCCACAGGCCAGGCCCAGGGACCCCACCGGTGCACGAATTCTTGCACTGGGCCTCTAGTATATAATAAAGGCCTAATATGCAAATCCACCGAGCAGCAAAATGACCAGTGGAATGACCGGTCACTATTACGTGCACTGACCACCGGGGGCAGATACTCAATGCAAGAGCTGCCCGCAGGCCTCAGGCCAGTCAAGGCGGGTGCCAGCAGGGGCCCCCTGATGGCCCCGCTGGTCGCCCCGCAGATCAGCCCTGGTCACCGGCTAGGCCTAGGGACCTACCCATGCACTCAGGCCTCTAGTTACTAAATATTGTCATGAAGTGTTCTAGGTTATAAGGATTTAACAGTGAACAAAACAATAAGGTCCTTTGGGTAGCATATATCCTAGCAAGCAACCACTGTAGAAAGTTGAGTCATGCACTTCCAAAATTCAAGTCCACCCAGAACCAAAGACCTTATTTGGAAATAGAGTCTTTGCCAATTTAATTAGTTAAAGATCTCAATATGAAATCACCCTGGATTCAGGTGGTACCTAAATCCAATAAGAAGAGAGGACACAGAAGAGACATAGGAGAAAGAAGGCCATGTGAAGACACTGGTAGAGATTGGAGCTATGTGGCCACAGCCAACTAATGCCAGAAGTCACCTGAAAGCAAGGAAGAATTCTCCCCTAGATACTTGGGCACGTGGCCTAGCTGACACTTAGGGTTCAGACATCTGGCCTTAAGAATAGTCAGATAATTTCTGTTGTTTTTAAGTCCCCAGGTTGGTGATAATTTGCTATAGCAGTCATAGGACATGAATACAATCGAATTTTTTCTCAATAATACACTAATATAGTTAAATCAAGAATAAAACTGTAGCCGGGGCCAGTATGTCCCAGTTGGTTGGGCATCATCCCGTGCATGGGAAGATTGCCAGTTTGTTTCCTGGTCAGGGTACATGCCATGGTTGTGGTCTTGATCCCCAGTAGGGGTGTGCAGGAGGCAAGCCGATCAACATTGATGTTTCTCTCTCTTTCTCCCTCTCCACCCTCTCTCTCTTTCTCCCTCTTCCCCTTTCTTTCTCTCTAAAAATCAATTTTAAAATCTTTAATAAAAAAGAATAAAACTGTATACAGTGAAAAATCTCTATCCTACCCTTGTCTCCTATTTACCTAGTTCCTTTTCCATCTCGAACAGGTTAACCTCTGGGTTTCCTGTATATTCTTCCAGAAATGTGTAATATCTATATGCACACACCTACACAACACACACAATACAAGTTTTTCTACACGGAAAGAAAATCAGAAAAAATGTTTTGCATATTTTTTCACTTCATGAGACCACGATTTGTTTCCCCAGTTGAGCCACAATTCCTTAAGAACACAGACTGTTTCCCCAACACCGTACAGGATTGTGGACTGCAAGGAGAGACGTTGAATAAGTGGTGACCGATTCCTCCCCTGAGCACCTGGGCCTCACTAGCAGCCTCCATTGCCTTACCTCCCACTGCTCCTTCTGTTCCTCTGAACCCGCACTCACCAACATTACCAGTGGTCTCCATAGCAGCAAAATGTAGTGGGCCCTTGTCCTTAGGTTGCAGGACCTATTGGCAGCAACATGGCTGCTCCCTAGAACATTCCCTTTTCAGGGCTCTCATAATATTACATGCTCCTGCGTCTCCTCCCTTCTCCTGGGCTAGTACTTCTCTACTCTCGGGACTCTACTCTAGATCCTTTTTTCAGTCTCTTCCTTTTCCCCGTTGGTGACTTTATTCACACCTGTGCTGTCAGTCGCCTTTTCTATGTCAACAACTCCCTATTCCACAGCCGAACCAGCCTCCTGCACTCCAGATC